AAAGCCAGAAGACAGCCATTGCGACTGTGTGAAGTCCCTTCAAGGAAGCAGGAAATTATTATTATTGTGTCTATTGAGGGAAGGAGAGACCAGGTTTATTATTATAAGCGTGTACTCTGGCAAAAAATTACTCAATCAATATACTTGGGTTTCGATGCAGTTGTAACCTTCTTATACGTTCGATCCCCGTGGGCGACACTGAGTCCTCTGAGCTAGCTGAGCAAACCGCGAGTGTGGTAGACGGTTGTAGGTTCTACGCATAATTTCTGGATAAGAAATTCGAACTTGTAGGAAAATGGAAAAAACTTCAGTAAGAAATAATATCATAGCAGAATGAGACGAATGCGAGACGCATAAGGAAATAAGAAATTCACACAACATTTTTATAAGGAAATCTATGCGAAAAGAAAACAAGATATAGATGGAAATATAATACTCAAGCGTATCTTTTGCACGTGACTGGTGCGAAATTAAACAAGATCACGATGACGCCCATTAGCGATCTTCTGTAAAACCAGTGAACACACGCCTTGTTCCATTAAAGAACGGAATGTGTTGATGATGTGGGTTAAGCTGACGCAACATCTGGCAGAAAACCCTTCAGAATACGCAAGAGAACTAGAATTGAGAGCTGTTATCCACACGTGAATATACACATGCGTGCTTTAAATTGCTCAATTCTGAAAGCTTTTCCCAAACACCTTCGAACTCTGTAGGTCATGGTTTTAAACCTCAGGCCAGAAACAGAATTTTCTTACTGAAGATTTTCGTTTTTTTCTTCAGTCACCGTAGGCAAATATTCCGAACTGCAGATAAAATTGGGCGGTAACCAACTCCGTTCATTTTCCTTCGTAGTTCGAACTCATTAATCACGCATCATCCTACAACATAGAGTCTCTGCTAATGAGAAAGACGTTGATTGATTCACGAAAATTTATTTAGTTTATAACAAAGCAATTAATAATCAAAATTTTCAATATGAACGTTTCCACAACAGATGTACAATTAATGAACACAACACTAACTGCATTCGTTTACAAAAAAATTATTAACACCACATAACTTGTTACAAATAATTTCATAATTTTAAATTCAACATGAACAATATAACACGCTGATATTTTTTCTGAACCTCTGGAAGTGACATCTACAACTTTTTGAAGTAGATAATTTATCCAACAGGTACATGGACTTGTATAGTATGTGCTGCCAACTGTACCTCTATATTTATTTGTATTTCAAGGACTTTGAGATTTTTAAAGGAAGCCAAGATATTCTGAGAAAAGGTTATTGTATTACGATGTTCTCAAAGATTAAATATAAACCGGCTTAAATGTTTGAGACACGCAAGGATTTGTTAAACAACCAAACCGCCATTGGTACGCAAATTGCTATTATTGCAGATCAAAACACTCTTTGCCATCTGCTACAATTTCACTAGAGATTATGAGAAGCCTATATCCCTTCATCTAACCTTCCCTCTCCTGCGTGGAGAATAGGGGCCTCATTTCGCAGGTTTCTGACATACTTTTTTAAACATTTGGTAAGGACACCCTCGACGAAAGACCAGCCCATCTCAAGTCCTCTACGAGAGACATGGATGACAAATTGCCTCTGAATTTTGCTCACGAAACTTCTCGTTCATGCTCCTAAGGATAATTTACTTGCCGTAAATCATCGGGGTAAAACCGGCCGACACTTCTTCCCCTCCGGCAAATCTTGTTTTTGGTGGCAACCACATTATCACAGTTGACCACTAGAAAGCCAAAATGTTAGTTGAAGGAAACAGGACGTTTCTTGATTTCGTTATTCCCTGATCCTATAGACCAAACGCTATCAATAACAATGTTAAGTGATTTCAACATTCGGTCTCATGAAATATTAGCATCAATTGAATGAGATTTCTTCCTGCCGAAATTCGAAATTCCTTCTCGACGACTGTCTTCAGAGCACGAGTTGCATTTTGCAGTTCAGACAATTGACAGATGGCTCTCCTCTTCATTATTTAATGCAGGGCCCTTACGCATTGACACACGAGACCTCCTCAGGTAACAAAACATCGAAGCAGCTACGGCCGTAAGAACAATTAATAGACCAAAAAGGGCTAAAGACGTATAGAAATACTTTGATTTAAATTCCGTAACTTCTTCTCGACTTGTTAAAATATCTGCAGCCTCCTGCAGATTTTCGAATTTTGCATGCTTCTCCACTGGTGTTAATCCGTTACCAGTTACCGTAAATTCGTCCACTTCGTCGAAGACATTTTCATCACACCCTTCTCTATCATACTCAGTCCATTTCCTGCCCTTAAACTTCGGAGGACTTGAACACGTCAATTTCAAGTCAACGCCGTTGTCATGACACCAGGAGTAAGTCGTGTTAAACATAAGACAGTCACATAACCAAGGGTTGCCACTTAAATCACCAGTTCTAATTACTTTCGCCAGTTGAGGCATCATTTCTATATTCAGAGTCTTCAGTCCATTATAGCTTAAATTCAGACGAATGATCTTAGGCGAAGAAGTGAAAATATCAGAATCCAAATCTCTCAAATTGTTATTACTTATATCAAGTACAGTTAGGAACCCGGTACCTAAAGGAGGCAGAATATCGATCAAGTTATGAGAAATGTATAATTCTTGAAGATTTGGAAGACCTTGAAAAGTTTCTGTTGGGATGAAACGCAAATTACATGCAGACAGATGTAACACTCTTACTGATTCTGAGTAAAGAAAATAACCTTCTTCAGGGAGCATACCAAATCCGTTACCAGAGAGTGAGAGCCATTTGAGTGAAGGATTTCGAATAAAGGCATTTGGTTCGATGTAGCTGAGATTGTTACTGGAGAGGTCCAGTGTCTGCAACCTGCTCTGGCCAACAAAAGCCTCCTCGTGGATGTCAATTATGCTGTTTCTAGACGCGTTCAGTTCTTTGAGGGAGATAACTCCCATGTTCCTCAGCGACGTCTTGCTCAGATTAGACAGGCTGTTGCCGGAAATATCCAGAATCTGCGTGTAGATGCCAAACCTGCAATTCATTATAGAATGGTTTCAGCTATAGTTTTGAATCTATGTAATTTAATACAGCTTAACTGCAGTTGGTTTCGTTTGAATTTGTTTGCTGCTAACACCTGCAGACCCAGTCACCGGGAATACGAGGTGCGATCAGAAAGTTTCAAGACTGCGCCTATAAAAACCCGTAAACTTATCTCAGGTATTAAATTCATCCATCACCCTCGAAGTAGTTCCCCTGGGAGTGAACACAACGATCCCAGCGCCGCTGCCAAGCCTGGAAGCATCCCTGGAAATCTTTCTTTGCCAGCCTGTCAAGCACCATCTGCGATTCTGCCTGAATCTCTTCTATCGTCTCAAATCTCATTCCCTTTAGCTGAATTTT